TATTATTAATGTATACTTTTATATACAATTTACTAAGTAACAAAGTTAGGGTCTGAATTTACAGAAATAATTTTGAGAAAATTGCTGCTGCTATTGGGTCAACAATTTTGGAACCTATCTAGCTACACTTTTACTCAGCCTAGTTTATCATGTAGAACCATCAGTATATTATTATTATTATTATTATTATTATTCATACCTCTTCAGTTTTACTTGGAAGTGTGTATGTCTGATTCGAGTGAGGTGACATTTAGTGACACATTAAATAAGTCANGTTATGTAATTCGTCAAATGAAAAATTTGGTGGTCCACGGGATTGAAAATAATTAGGTCTCTGTGTAGGTACAGATGTTCTAGAAGGAACACGAGATTGTGTTGACATTGGTTCTGGAATTGTCTGATTCTGTCTATTTTGTGGATTTGGTTTAAATACGTGTTTAGGTGTTTTGAAAACTTGAGAGTTAGTTGGGAATCGTTGGGGTATTTGTCTAGGACGAATATTTATTGGTTGACTGGGAAAATCGTTTGTTTGTCGAATATGTCTTTGAAATTGGGGTGGTATATTTCGTAAATTATCAACACTTTGATGAAATCTAGGAGTTGGTGTTTGTGGGAGATAAGATCGTTGTTGATTTATATTTGGATGGATCTGTCTTGAATTTTGTGGTTTGTATTGAGATGAAGTTGTCAAATTTCTAGTCATTTTAAAATTTTCGTCATCTATTACATGAGACATTGCAGTTTCTAGAGAATCTGGTTTTTGTAAAATTACCTTGTCTTGTAGTCGTTCAGGTAAATTTCTTAAAAATGTTTTTAATGACAGTTGGTCGTATTGATTTAAATAAATTTGTTTTGTTTGTCTATTCATTTCCGTTTCTGGAAGTGAATTTAATTTAAATTATTATTATTATTATTACATAATAGCAAGGACAGAGGCAAAGCCTATTTAGTCCAATAAAATATCAAAATGACAATTAACAGCTTTTAAAGTAACAGTAAAATATATTACTAACATAAAAGAAAAAGAACAAATAAGTATGTGAACAGAATACCAAAATAACAATACAAATCACAGCTAACTAGCGGAACAGGCCATAAACCGCACACAAAAATACACTAGGCGCACACTCACTGTAAAAATTCTTATGACATCCATGCATCCAACCTGGTCTTGAAAGAGTTGACCAATGGGGCAGTAACAGCAGATGAAGGTAGGCTATTCCAATGGTAGAACATTCTATTTGGGAAGAAATTTTGACGCAAAGACGTTTTGAAGTTTTCTCTCGACAATTTAAACTGATGACCAGTAAACGCTCATCCAAATTTAACCTAAATAAGTCTCCAAAAGTTAAACTGTAATGATTATTTAGAATCTTGTACATTTGGATAAGATCACCACATAGACGTCTCACATTAGTACAAGTAATTTTCAAATTATCCAAACGGTGATGATATGGAAGTGATCTAAATTTGGGGATCCATTTTGTGAACCTTCTCTGCACGCTCTCTATCAGATTAATATCTTTTACCACCAGGTAAGGGGACCATATGTTCACGCAGTATTCCAGATGTGGACGAATATATGATTTATATAATTTTGAGAAGACCTGATCGTTTGAGCTCTGAAAACACTTATTTAAAATATAAGACAGGGAGTTGGCTCTTTTCACAACGGTGGAAATATCTTCAGACCAACTGAGACTGGAATTGATTACTACACCCACATCATTCTGGTTTTCGACAGTTGTTATAAGTTGACCTTGATCGAAAGTATATGTTGACTTGGGATTATTTTTACCAATATGTATAACAGTACACTTATTTAAATTCAGAGGGATGAGCCAATCATAGTACCAGTGCTCGATGGAATTAATATCATCTTGTATAGTCTGATGATGCAGTGCATTTCCAAATATCTTAGTATCATCGGCATACAGTGCATACTGCGATTTGAGCTTTAGCGAGAGATCAGCTGTATATACCAAAAATAGGACTGGTCCCAGAACAGAACCTTGCGGTACCCCAGAGAGAACTACTTGAGATTCCGAATGCGATTTGCCAACTCGTACTGTTTTTCGGGACTGTACTTTCGGGCCTTGGCAAAATCAAAATCCGGAACGTCAACTGGAAATCCCTTAACAAAACAAATTAACAAAATATGTACAGCTCAATACAGGGTGATTCAGAAACGGTGACCAAAAATGAAACCTTTCGTATCTTTTTTATCTAGGTCGGTTCATTAAAAAGATATTAAACTTAAGGTGGCCATATCTCTGGCCGAGGAATAGTCAAATTTCTGGCATTTCTGGTGTAGAACAAAAGTAAGCACAAAAATAAAATCCTTGATGTTCTGTTTATTCATTGTTACTATTTAAATTTACTCAAATAAAATAATAACTAAAAAAAGCGTTTGTAAAACATCCGTTTGCTGTTATCCTAACCTCACATTTTAAGAATTATTTTCACGTACTTATAAATAAAAGTAAACAATTATTCAGTTATTAAATGTTTGAAATTATTTGTATTTGTGGAAAACACTATTTAAAGAATACGGCGCCCTTAAAAATATTTATAATTTTTTTAAATAATTTAAAAACTAGTATGTGAAATAATTTGAAATCGGGCACATGTATTTATGTAAACATTGTCCAAAATCTGAGGCCTTTTCCTAAAATTCCAGTGGCGGAAATACACAGTATCGGTGGCATATTTTTCTAAATAAAATAGTACGCTACTGCTTTACAGTAACAATCATAATATTTTCGGATTCGCCTTTTAATTTTCTACAAATTACTACCCATTTATGTTTTTCGAAAAAATCCTGATTTTCGAGTAAAATAAACTGAGAACACACTTCGATATTCGAATATAATGCCTTTTAAAATTACATAGTAGGCTGCGATAGCAACTTTGACATTCTGAGTAGTTAAAAGAAAGAATAAATAATGCTTTTCATCAGATCCAAGCAACAATAAATTTTGAACAAATTACATTTTCGTTACTAAAAAGATGTCGGGCATGTGTACGTAGAAATGGATGTATTTTTGAGCATTTACTCAAATAAAATCATTAAAATGATTACTAATGTTATTAATTTCTTTATTCAAATAAAATGACCGAATGATTAGTGCTTGTCATGTTATTTAAGTAAAAGTGTCAGTTTCAGGTACGTATCTAATTAGAAAACAATGTTGTAATAGTTATAGTACCTAATAATTGACAAAAAAATGTACATGTTTTCCAAAACATTCACTATAGACTGCCTTCTCTGCTTGCTTTTATTTCTGTTCTATTAGATCTCAAAATAAAGGTTGCTTTAGTGTTTGTTTCTTAACTTCTATTTGGCAACATACACCGAAGGAAATCGAAAAATCATAATAGCAATTTGCCTTATTAGTGTTAAAATATATGATGAAAAGGTCAATAAAAATTATTTTGCTAAGTTGATGCTTTACTATAACAAGAGGCTATATTCTTACGGTGAATAAGTACATTTCTAACATTTTTTCCACTAAAAATCACTAGATAGTGACAGTGCCTCTAGTGTTCATAAATTATCAATTGTGACTTATACATTTTGTGCTATACGACGAATAAGCGAGTGAAAATTGTGATTTATTACAAGTACGGAGAGTGTGTAGCTGAGACTATGCGTAAATTACATAGAATTTTCTACAGAAAGAACGACCCGAATGAAACAACTATGAAAAGATTTGTTGCCATTTGGACAAACAGATTCGGTTGCAAACAATAAAAAAACAGGCCGGCCTCTTACTGGTCATTCAGCCGAAATATTGCCACTATTTTAACAAAGGATCTACATCTGTATTCATTCAAGATTCAGCTAACCCAGGAATTGAAACCAGACGACCATTCGTTGATTGGATGTTGGAGAATCAACAAGTGAACGCTGATTTTGCTAAGAAAATCATATTTAGCGACAAGGCGCATCTTAGTGCAAGTAGCACTAACAAATCTCTTGAATTTAGCAGAAACAATCCTCAGGTCAAGAACGACCACTGCATTGGCAAGTATATGTTAGTACAGACGACTGTTAAGAGCTTCTTCTTCTGGAACAAAGCAATATGAATTTTATGCAAGTTCAAACTTTTTTTCTTATTAAACTGTTTTTGATATACTTGGTGTATTAAGTACATCCCCACAACACCATAATAAAGTGCCCTTATTAAGTACATGTAATCTCAAAATAACTAAATCTTACAAAGAGCAAAGAAAAAATAAATACGTCTAATATTAATATATAAGTACTTTGTACTCTACTAATTTGAGCATATCTTCTGATATTTTGTTTCTGATTAGATTTACAAGGACAATTTTGAAGTAAATATATTGTCAGGAAATTTTTCTGGAAATTATTAACAATGAAAAAATCGACTTTGTTGACTGCTTTTGGACCTTTTAAAATACGCTATTTAAATTTTGTTTATTTTGCACGTGTCTACCGCTAACAGGAAGATGCTGTACTTAATGAAATTAGTTGAAATTTTAGAGAATTGTTTGGGACAAAGATCGTAAAATCGCAAAAGAAATTAATAATATTGCAGGCAACTCCGCAACTAAACCGACAACTAGGCACCTTTAAAATTTAAGTTCCTGGTGGATACAATAAAACATTATGTTCTTTATAAGGAAAAAATATACAAGTATATCCCCCACATCCCTACTGTTTCTTCATCTGTTATGGTTATTTTATCGAAACGATAAAAGTGGAGGATAATTGCATTTTCAGAATTATAGACCCTCAATTCGATTGAATTTAACTACCGTTTCGAATAAATTATTGTCACGTATGGTGCCGTGTGAACGATGAGGTTATCTGTATTTGTAGCTATTTTTTTTTGTAATAATAACTAAATAAGTATTAAAGCAAAAATCAGCAAACTCTTGTCCAAAAGTACGACTTTGATAAGAAATAGATAAGAATCAATCTAAAAATCTAACAATGGGATAGGTGAGCGAATATAAAACTTGGGGGGTTCATTGCAATCTTGAGTTCTTCTGTTTTTGTCACTACCTCCACAGCAAGAATTGCAGAAGTCAAAAATGAAGTTTTGTGCCTTTGTAATTTTGGTGTGCATCCAGACAACCATACGTGAGTGGTCAAATATGATGACAATGATCATATATTTTATGTTTTAAAACTTAACTATACTAGGAAAAAACTTTCAATTTTTCAAAATTAATCTACTTACACTAGAAAATTTATTAAATATACCTACTAAAAACTTTAAAGAAGGTTTCTCTACATACATATGTTATAAAGAAATTATTATATTTCCTTGAAACTTTTTTCGTCAGAAACTAAATTAATGAAAATACTTTTGTTAGGAATATTTGTAATTTGGTATCCAAAAGATATTCTAATTTAAGTTTTACGTTGCAGTATTCTCAGTGTAACTTTAACTTTAAAGAAATACATCCACGGGTATTCATTTAAACATTTAATTTAATATAACAATCAAGGGCCTTAAGAATTGTAAAAATTTTTCAGCTTTGACTCAAGGAACATCCATCTTAGAACGCATTAATGAATATTTAGCGTGTCTTAAGAATCTAATTCCAGAAGAAGTACATTTCCCCGATATTGGCTTTGCTGTTCCAGAAAACAAATATTTTGCGTAAGTAAAAAAAAAATACAAAAACCGCTTGGAAGCTATTCATATTCGGGACACTTTGTATATTTCAATTCAAGTTTTTAAGGTCCAAGAAGGACCCAACAAATAGCGTTCAAGAATAAAATAATTCAATCAATACTGAGTTTAGTGATTTTTCTGTTTCAGAGCAAACGTAAACATTACAAATTCCTACATAAGCGGTTTGCGAGATTTCGACATAGACATTGATTACAGCGGGGTAATTATTAAAATTCCAAAGGCATTTACTCTCACCATCAATAATGGAGCCACATCGAGCGAGTTCGCATCCAGTTTGGAGGTCTACAAAGCCAACTTTTTGAATTATGACATTGATACAAGCTTCAGGTAACTCTTAGAAAATAATTGTAACTTTACATGGGTGGGTCATTTCGGTTATGATTTTACTGATTGTGAGATCTTGAAACAGCAAGAGATGAAAAACCGAATAAACAGGATGTTATACTAACTTAATGTCGTTTTTTGTAATGCAATCTTTGTACTCTTCTATTCTAATTTTAACAGGTCGAGAGATCTATCGACATAAACATAATGTTTATTGCATTCATAAGGTATGCAATTTTTGGAATTTTGAAGATACCCAGTAAATAAGAAAAAAACTAAAATATATAATATATAT